ATGTGAACTGTAATGCAGACTAAATAGAGTTGCAGTGGATCAGGATAAGGTTGACACACAGGGATAAATGTACAGCCTCTTCTGTATGGGTTGTGGTACCATTTATTTATTTATAATTTGATTTATACCCCAACCTCCCCACATGCGGGTACCATGAAAGGTCAGGTACACATTTCGGAGGATACTCCTGCATTCATTGTTTTTAAGAAGAAGATTTATTTATTTATTTGATTTATACCCCAACCTCCCCACATGCGGGTACCATGAAAGGTCAGGTACACATTTCGGAGGATACTCCTGCATTCATTGTTTTTAAGAAGAAGAAGACTTCTACCCGAACAAGTCTCAGAGCAGCTTACAGTCTTCCCTCCCCCTTCCCCGCGAAGCGGGGAGGGCGGGTTATAAATTGAATAAAATAAATAAATAAATAAATTCCCACAACAGACACCCTGTGAGGTAGGTGGAGCTGAGAGAGCTCTTAATGAACTTATGACTGACCCAAGGTCACACCAGAAGCTGCATGTGGAATAGGAGTAGGAAATCAAACCCAGTTCTCCCAGATTAGAGTCCACACTCCCAATCACTATTTATTTATTTTTTTATTTATTTAACATTCGGCTTCTATACCGCTCAGACCCGAAGGTCTCAGAGCGGTTTACAATTGTGCTGCAAGTGCAGATTACTCCTAATTCTATGGCAACATATTACAAGGGGTGGGGCTGCCTACCGGCACCCGGGTGAGTTCGCTGTTCTCGGCTCTCTTTCCTTGGCGGTCCACTGGGGTTGGCGCGCATCCGTGGCCAGTCCTTCTCGGCTTCGATCTTCCAGTGCACGGCCCGCAGTAGCCTCGGGCCAGCTGTGTCCATATCCGGCTCCGCTGCGCCTGCGCCGCTCACGCTGCCGTGCGCTCCTTCGTCATTCCACCTCCACTGTCGCTGAGCGACGGATGCCGAGTGCTGGACGCTGTTGTTCCATCGGCCACCAAAGATCGCCGCATCGCACCGCCACACCGCCGTCACCGCCGCCATCGCTGCCGCTGAAGCTCCACCACGTCCCCACTTGGAGGAGGGTGCCCCCTACCCTTCTAAGGGTAGGTACCCATTTATCTACTTGCATTTTAAACTTTCGAACCGCTGGGTGGGCGGGAGCTAGGACTAGAGCCGGGTGCTCACCCCGGCCGCGGTGGGTTTCGAACAGCCATGGGGCTGTTTGCTATGATGTTACATGCAAGCGTTTAATTGCTTGCGCCACCGCATTACTTCACTAGCCCAGGCTGCTTGTTCCTGTTCATCAGGAGCCTTCCTATGGAAGCTGTCTGGGTAATTTTGGACCAGCCACAGACTTTCTGCCTAACCTACCTTGCAGGATTGCTGTACAGATCACAAAGCTTTCTGTGCCTAAAGGTGTCAGACGTATAAGCTGGACCTATTAAAATGACTTGAAATTGATTACAAGTGGAAGCAATTTTAAAAAGGCCCATGTTTAAACTTCAGACTGCCAACAATGAAAGAAAATATTGTTTCTTAAGAACTAATGTTAACTGGTTCCTAATGGAAAAATTATGGGTAATGTAGTGTCCGCGGACCGCCACCGGAGGTCAGCGCATATGCCCTAGCTTCAGTCCGAACAACAATAGGGACTAGGATCCTAGTCCCTCCTCTGGGGAACCAATGGGATCCGTGGCGGGAGATTTGAACCCACCAATGGTGACCAGGGGCGGTCCCCAGGTGTGTATATAGTTGGCCTGCCGGCCGTTTATCTCTCGTCTTTGTTGTGTGCTAATAAAGCGTGCTATGCACCACGTCGTTGTCTGTCGTTCATCCATGCGGCTACCCACTACATAACATTTACGCATCCAGCATAGCATGAAATGTGGAGTCTAAGGCTGTCAGGTCTCCACCCCCCACCAGCAGGGGGTGGCAGGGTCGCCAGATCCAGGCTGGGAAACTCCTGGAGATTTGGGTACGGAGCCTGGGGAGGACAGGGACCTCAGTGGGGTACAAGGCCCCAGAGTCCACCCTCTTAAGCATCCATTTCCCCCAAGGAATCTGATCTTGGGAGTCGGGAGACCAGTTGTGATTCCGGGGAATCCCCAGCTCTCACCTGGAGCCTGGCATCCCTAATGTGGACACTGCAGATGGAGCCCTGTATGCAGACGGTTGGGAGCTGCAGTGGCTCAAGTGGTTAAGATGCTGAACTGCAGGCTGTGGAAGATCGGTAGTTCAGCAGTTTGAGACCCGAGTGTGCCGCATGACGGAGTGAGCTCCCGTCTCTAGTTCCAGCTCCTGCCAACCTAGCAGTTCGAAAGCAAGAAATTGCAAGTAGATAAATAGGGACCACTTCCGTGGGAAGGTAACAGCGTTCCAGGCACCTTGGTGTTTAGTCATGCCGGCCACATGACCATGGAAACGTCTTCGGACAGCGCTGGCTCTTCGGCTTTGAAACGGAGATGAGCACCGCAACCCTAGAGTCGGACTCGACTGGCTTTCGAGCAAGGGAACCTTTACCTTTTATAAGCGATAGATAGATAATATGTTTATTCGGTATATCACTAGCCCAATTACAGATAATACAAAAAAGGGTACCAATAATATATATAAAACATTTAAATATAAAACTGCGTTTAATCTGCGTATGTTAATTTCAAAATTACTAAAACTCTAAATATCTACAATACTCTATCAACTGTTATTTGACTGTTGAGTAAGTATTATAGGGGTTATACAGTTCTACTCCCCATCTCCTAAATCTTCTGGGTTCTTTCTAAAATTGTACTACCTGTGCAGCACGTTTTTTTTGGGCTATTGCTGAAAATTTAGCACAATTTATTATGATCTGTGGAGCAGGATCAAATAATAGCTTCCTACTTATCTCCTAGCAGTTCGAAAGCAAGAAATTGCAAGTAGATAAATAGGTACCGCTTTGGTGGGAAGGTAACAGCGTTCCGTGTGCCTTGGTGTTTAGTCATCCCGGCCACATGACCACGGAAACGTCTTTGGACAGCGCTGGCTCTTCGGCTTTGAAACGGAGATGAGCACCGCAACCCTAGAGTCGGACTCGACTGGCTTTCGAGCAAGGGAGACTTTTACCTTTGCCTTACTTATCTCCTTGTCCAAGTATCCATGGTACCTCCTTATAACAGGATGAATAACTTGAGGAGAGTGGGCCCAGCATAGTGCCTTATAGCAACTGTGGTATTGTTTTAGCTGAGTATAGTTTAAGCCCGACTGGTATAAAACGACCCCCTTTTGTTGAGTATGTATAGACGTTGTCTCCTTGAATGGGATGCCTCTCTTTGTCTTAATCTGGGAGCTGTCCTCTGACCCCCTCCTCTCTCTCGCTTTGTCCTCTCCCTCACTTCACATGGCCTTCCACATTGGAGACACATGTCTCTGCAGGTCTCTCCCTTATACCCCTACACACGTGATGCTGGATCTCATGCTCGCCCTGCACCCCTGGTACAGCGCCTCCCGTGGCTGTGGCGCATCCTTCCGAGGCAGAGTCGTCGGTCCTGGGAGTCGGGATGCTGAAAGCGGGGGGAACGTCGGGGCCTCAGATGAGCAGGGGACGGGTTGACTTCACCCCGTAAGTCCCTCTGCCGTCGTGCAAGGTGCTGTCTGTTGGCTCACTCTTGCTCTCTCTCTCTCTGTCTTCGCCTTTGCACGTTTCTCCTCCTCAGGGGTCATTTCCTGCAGGAGCGCACAGGAGCAGAGCTCCGGCAGTAAAGAGCCCAGGGGGCGGGCACATGCAACAAGCCCCACCCCCTGCTCCCAGCAGCCCTCAGTCAGAGCAAGAAGCAGCCAGGTAAGGTTGCAAAGCCCCCCCCCCCGGCCCTCTGGTCCAAAACAGTCCAGTGGCACCTTTAAGACCAAGTTTTATTCAGGTACAAGCTCTCCCTCCTCTGCCAGGACAGATCTGCACATTCCCCCCCCCCCCAATGGCTAGCAATCCAAAACAGTCCAGTGGAGCCTGAGCGGTGGGTGTTCCCTTCTGACACACTTCTGGTGACATCAGGGGGTGTGGCACATGCAAATGAGTTATGCTAATGAGTTATGCTAATGAGCCCCTGCACCTCTTTTTCTATGAAATGACCCCTGCTCCTCCTCCCCGTCCCCTTCACTTTCCCCTTCCTTTATTCCTTTCCTAGCTCCCAGCACCGCCCCCTTTCCCTGCCACTTCCCCCTTACTCCCCGCCCCGCCCCCTGTAATAAGCCAGGACCCTGGCGTCTAGGGCGTGGCTGGAGCTGGGCCAGCGGTGGTTCTGTTGGCCTGGGGGCTGCCGCCGCTGGCGTGTGGGGTGCTCCGAGGTTGTGCGCCGGTCGTCAGCCTCTCCATGGCGGCGCCTGCATTGCCACTGCCCTGTGCGGCTCCTCAGAGCCCTCGGTTCTGTGGTCGAGCCCGGCCGGAGCGTTGTGCCTCCCGAGCAGAGGCGGAGGCCGGTGTGTTGCGTTGTCCTGGCTCTGGCGCCCGTCCTGGTGTTGGTTTTGTTTTCGTGTGGGATGTTCCGGGTGAGTTTGTTGACCAGGGGGTGCCCGGGGTGTTTGGGCGGAGTCCCGAGACCTCCGGACCGGGACACTGGACAAGCTGGCTATTTGTGACAGGGGGAACGTACTCTTTAGGTTAGGCTTCTTTTCTTTTCTTTCGACCACAACCTGAATGTGAACGGGATCTATATTTAAATAAACGTTACTTTTTGCAATATGCTTCTTGGGAGATTTATTTACTGCATCCAATGTATCATGCCTCTATGACTGGGCAAACTCCGCTGTATTAACCAATCCCAATAAAACGACCCGTCAACCGTCCAGATGGTGCAGTAGACACTTCTACTGCCTGGAGTGTATTGCGAACTTGAGAGATTTTGGTCATCAAAAAGAGTCAAAAAGGGCAGTACTGATTATAAAGCACTGGACCAGGGAAACCTTGGTTTGATTTCTGTTAAGTCGTGAGCTTAACAAATAGTCGGAGAGTGATTTCAGCAAGAACACAACTTTATTCTTCAACTCGAACACTTCTCCAACACGGTACAACATCTGATAGCCAGAACAGCTTTTACATTGCAGCTGTCCTGCTTTTAAACAATTCCCGGCTAATATAGCCACGCCTACTATACACATAACAACCAATACGATTGAGCGCATAGGACCAATCACAGACGTTCCCGCTCGGGAACCTACTTGAGTGTGATTGGTTACACATTTCCTGGGCTAGCGATGTCATTGGATATTTCAGGATCCTAGCCAAGGCTGAAGCTTAACATGGTTTTACAATGAGGTGTTTCACAACAGCTAATGCATTCATGGCAGCTTCTGAATACATTACAATTTCCTACTCTGTGGCTAACCGTATGCCTAGAGAAAATGACTGGCCCAAAGTCTCCCATGGCCATTCAGAAGATTGTTACGATGCTCACAGCTGCTGCAGGTGAGGCCAAGGATGTTGCACAGGTGGCATTACAACAGGGCCTCATGGATGCGCAGTTGACTTTGTAGAAGCCCACTGCACTTCCATGTAGAATTTGTTGGAATATACAAGGTCTATAGTGCACCTTCTTGAAGGAGATCAGAAGAACAGCCCATAGGGGGACACCCGAAGGACAGTTAGTTAGCATTGCTAGGTTAGGGACTTCCCACAATTTCAAATTATGTCCTTCCTGTCTTCTGATTGGCTCTTTGGAGACTTCCTGCTCCAACTGAGCCCACCCTCTTCATTCCTGGCTGTCACAGGAGTTAGTCAGTTAGTTAAGCCTCTCTCCCTCTTCAGTTTGGTGTCATGGATAGGAGTGCAGACCTTAATCTGGGAGGACCGGGTTTGATTCCCCACTCCTTCACATGCAGCCAGCTGGTGTGACCTGGGGTCAGTCACAAGTTCTCTCAAAGCCCTTCTCTGAAGGGCAGTCCTTGAAAGAGCTCTCTCAGCCCCACCTACCTCACAGGGTGTCTGTTGTGGGGAGGGGAAGGGAAAGGCGATTGTGAGCCACTCTGAGACTCCTTCAGGTAGTGAAGGGCAAGGTATAACCCCAATCTCTTCTTCTTCTTCTCTGTTCTATCAGAGTTTTTTTCTTCTTTAATAAGCCAAGTTATTTTTCTTTAAAACGTTGGTGCTCCATTCCTCTGCATGCTTAAACTCTGCCAACAGAATTTAAGTCAATGCCATTGCCTGACAACGTACTGTTTGTAATTTTGGTAACACCCACAGTACCTTAAAAAACAACAAGGCTCCAGGTGTCTCCCCTGAGGGTAAATGTGTATTGGTAGTGAGAGACTCAAAGGCTGATCTTAGCCACTTCAGCCATGGCTTCAAATCCAGTCTTCCAGTTTTTCAGCCTCACACTGGTTTTTGTGCATTGTGTCTCATTTCCGGTAAGTCTAATTCAGTTTTGATAATCGATCGTTCCTTTCTGTGATTGCCAGGCACAATGAGCGCATGATGGAAATTTTCTCTCTTTTTAGGTCAGGCGTTCGTTTAGGAAAGATGGTAAGGATGCACCCAAATGACCCCAAGAAGGCCTGAACTCTGGGACTGGGAGCTGAACATTTCCCTTTTTTTAATTTGCCTTGGTTAGATGCTGATTCTGATGAACTCGGAACCGATATTCTAGCAATAAATGCAGGTGCGTTGCCTTTGGGATCTTCAAAATATGCAGTGCTCTGAGAAAGTGGGATCCAGTGGGGTCAGAACTCCAGAAGCCCTCCCCCTGTTGCCCCCCAAGCACCAAGAATACAGAGCATCACTTGCCCCAGACTTAGTGTCCCATCTATATGTTGTGGCTAATAACCACTGATGGACCTCTCCTCCATTTGTTGTTGTTCAGTCGCACAGTCGAGTCCGACTCTTCGCGACCCCATATGTTTATATGATTATCCAATTTGGGGGGGAAGGTTGAATCCATGTCAATGTGTTTATCTCTTACCTATTATCAGGGGGGGGGTTGGAAAAAGGGGTGCTGGAACTCTCAAGAGTGAAATGAAGTTTTCAGTCCATATACTGAAAACTCACGAACTTTTAAACATTTTTAAAAAGAATTTTGTCGAAGAGGTTCGGGAACTCCATTCTGGTGCGTTCCCCCAGAAAAAAAGCCCTGCCTATTTTGTTCATCTCATGTGGTGTTATGTATCATTTATCTATCACTATCTAATGATTTCCTTTCATATTTGTACAACTTGCTAATGCTGAAATAGAAGGGAGGGAAACCATGTCCCATTCCTTTAACTACAGTCGGTAACCAAGTGCTTTCCCCCATGATTTCTAAATCCAGATTTTGTTACTGAAATAGCACATAGGCTTTTAGACAGAACAACATAACAATAATTCAAATGCACGAACAAAAGGGATATTCGGCCCTTTAGGAAAAAGTAAATTTTGAATAGATAATTTAAAATATCGAATTAAAATAGCCACAGAATCACTGCATATTTAACTAGGCAATAATGCTTTAGTCTCTATTATAAATCCAAACATTCCATTTGGGTCAATTCACTACAAAGATGATGATGTACTTCCCCTGAGTTAAGATAACTGTGAACCTGAAGTGTTGGGACCAGCTAATATTAATGGGATTCCTAAACGAGACAAGTTGAATTTTTAATAATATGTCGGGGGAATGTCTGTCAGTCCATTTTGACCGTAGCATAGCAATACTAAAATCAAGATTTTAGATAAAGGACTCTAATGGAGACAACGAAGGATTCAGACATTTCTCATTATCCCATAAACAGGGCTATTTTGGGGCAGGAACGCACAGGAACGGAGTTCCGGCTGGCTCCCAAGTTGGCCACGCCCAGCAGGAACTCATTAGCATAATAGGCCACACCCAGCAGCAGAAACTCATTAGGATTGGCTACATTAGGGGTGTGTGGCCCAACATGCAAAGGAGTTCCTGCTACAAAAAAAGGCCCTGGGTTTTGACAACAAAGAAGGTAAACAGAATAACAAGCAAAAGGTAGGTGTGGCTAGATAACCACACTTCTGGTAATATGTGGGTGCGGCCTAATGTGCCAATGAGCTGTGCTGTCAGGGGTGTGGCCTAATATGCTAATGAGTTTCTACTGTTGGGTGTGGCCTATTATGCTAATGAATGGAGACAACGAAGGATTCAGACATTTCTCATTATCCCATAAATGTGATGCATTTTCTACTAGTGGTCTAGAATACCATAACTAAACTATTCCTATGAATGTTTTGAGAATATCATGGAAGGCAGGGTGGGGGAATTTTAGCACAATCGTGATCTAACATATACAAAACAAATGAAGGTAAAAAGAGTTAAATGTGGTTTATGCCCATCCACCGTTTTCGTCCTTTAAATCATGGCCCCCAAAGCTGCATCCTGTATTAAAAAAACCCTTCAGCAAAATAATGAATAATAAACTTGCTCAACGTGCCAAACCATCCTTAGCTGCCCCCTTTATTTTTCACCTGGTTATTAATTCAAGATCAAAGAAACCAGTGGGATTCTGTTCCTGGAGTTCCTGCCAGCAGTTCTGCATTTTGCCCGGGGCTGTTTTGATATGGTCACTTTGATCTTTGGTGGCTGGAAAATGACGAGTTTATGGTCCATTACTGGGAGGGTCTGAGATGCGGATTCATGTGTGGGGTGGG